ACGCCGTGTGACGAGAGGGGGGGGGGTTAAAAATCGTCCAAAATCGCGTGACGTCATTTATGGACGGCCCCTAATGCAAGAAAAATGTCAACCCACCGAACGCGCACTGGGCTGCCACAAAATACGATCGTTGGCCGTGCTCTTTGCTGAAGAGATGGCTGCACAACGACCTGTCGTGGAATATCAGCGACGGTGAAGAACGTTACAAGATTTAAGATAAAACTTTTTTTTTAATATCTTCATCAGGAGGGCGCTGCTCGCGATGTTTTGCCGACTGTACGTTGTCAATCCACTGCTGGATGAGGGCTTCCCCATGCTGTGCGGGTCGTGGGCGTTATTTGACCATACTTCACCACGCTGGTCAGTACTGGCTGGTAAAGACGGGGAGTGTATATCTTGGAACGCAGGGCAGTACAGTAGATGTTGTTGCACTACTGTCTGCTACCAACATAGCACCACGAGAGACAATTTTATGCCTGGTCATCCATCCAATTACTATCCAGGCTCATCCCAGCTTAGCTTCCAAGGTCTGATAAGATTGTGCACAGTCCAGGTATTTTGGTCTTAGGCCAGTTTATTATATTGCCAATGGATTATTATGCTTATGGAAGGTAAATTAATGACCCATACAAACCACAAACACTGTAGTTTATACCCTCAAAAAATCCTAAACAGATAGGTCAGTGACCGACTTGTTTGACTCCCTCGTCGTGCTACAGGATTAGCACCTCCGATTAGCACGGTTGGCTACGTACGGCGCGAAAGAAGTTCACAACATACAGGATGGGATCTGTGAGTCACCAACCCTACCTGCAAAGCCCTACATTGCTGGCACGCACCACAACCCGCGATGTGGTGAAGCTGGACAACGAGAGAGAGACGGGGCTCTAAAGTCGGTGGACAAAGAGCGATGCACGATGAAAGACAGCGGCGGTATTGTGGTGATGGGATTGGATGGGGCGCGTCATTGGGAGAGACAGCGGCCTGCTGGAAGACAATAAGGGAGAATGGTGGGCCGAGGGGAAAGGAGGCACTCGGGAGGAGGATTTATCGATCGCGCGAAGTAGTTAAGAGGAAACATGCGGCACTGAAGGGAAAGGGCAGTTCACCCCTTCCCATCTAGACATGTCTGCAGGCTGCAGGGGTGGTTCCCCCATGCACCTGATCCAGAGAGGCACGGCGCCGTCGTTTTAAAAGAAAAACCGACGACGTACACGTATGTACACGTACGTCGTCGGAATGGGAAAGGGTTGATTCGACGGACGCGGTAGAACGATAGGCAACATTTGTCATTTTTAACTGGTGGGCAGGTTGCCATTTCCTGTGTAAACTATGTCAGTGTCTCTCTGTGCATCGCACCTCAAACGTTTGAGATATTTGGCGAACAGACGAAAGAGCGTGTGTCCCATGGTTTTCACGGAGCGCTTTCACTAAAAACCTCCGCAAACCCAGCCCCATTGCTTTCACAGGGGCTTGATTCTGCTGATGGGTCAAAGCCGGCCGGGAGATTGTGGGACGAATGCTGCTAGAAAACAAAAGTATCCAGGCTTATGGGCTATAATTAAGCATTTAATGTTTACTTGGCAAGACACACACTGTGTTTGTTTGGTTGCTTTTTAATTTATGGACTAAAATGTTTAGACTAGTCATCAGAAAACGTTTGCTGTCGTATCAAAGGTCCACTAAAATCACTAACGCCAGTACACTTTTTTCTTCAAAATCTACAATATTCACGGCTATGTGGTTTACCTAAAAGACAACACAGACAGCGTTCCCTCTGACCCTTGAACAAAAATAACCCCGTCCTTTGGTTTACACATTTTTGCGCGATGCAAATTGACCACACAACACTGTGACGGGTGACGTTTCCTGCGGCAAATAACCCAAGACTCCAGTGCGGCGGCGCCAAGGCATTCACTCTCCGGACTACCCCACCTGGGTTTAAAGAGCAATTGCTTCCCTTCACTTGATGGAATTTACAAACGTACACCTCGTGCTTGCTGCAGACACAGCCAAAGGCGTGTTGTTGTTGTTCATTCTCATTACTCATTGTCACCATCATAGTCGCTGCCATCATCATTATCATCACAACCTCTGATTTTTTATATATATATTAATCAACATGTTTTACCATGTTTTCATTTACCAGGTAAGGCCCACTGAGCTGTATTGATTCTTTTTCAGAAGCCACCTGGCCACAAATGACAGCTCAACGAAGTGGCTCATCACGTTGACATTTATAGCAGCCAGATACTCTCAGCAAACGTTTCTAAATGTGGAGGAAAACACCGGACGATTCAGATAAATCTACGCGACCACGGGGAGAACGTGCAAACTCCAAATATACAACAGGCATCAGGTTCGGAATCGAACCCACGACTTCCTGTATACCGGGCGAGGTAATTAAAATCTCGGCACCCCCAAAAAAACAGCGGCCCGTCGAGATGCTGCATATCAACTGCATAAGTAAATCAGCCGGAATCGGCGACATCTCGTGGGATCTGGGTTGTGAAGCCGGGCAAGGTGTGTGGATGGAGAGGCTGGTTACGTTTGTGGTGGCTGCGAGGGCTGCGAGGTGACGGCACCATGGCAATGGGTGCAGTCTGCCGATATATTTGGTCCGCCCGCTAGCGTGGCTCTGTCTGTGCATCGAATCTGTGTGTTGCTCTGTGTCATATGAGTAAGGTTGGTTTTTTTTCTTCCGGCTACTCCTGTTTGATCTCACATGCCAAATGTTCGTTCATGATACTGGCCAAACATTCCGATGCAAGACCCTGCCCAATAAAGGGCTTTAGACTCTGCGAGGTTTTCCTTACAAAATAATCTGCATTATTTTTTTTTTAATTTCAACAGAAACCTAGGAAGTACTGACCAGGTACAATGCATGCCTGAACATAATTGAAAATATTTTAAGTGCAATTCATGACTCAGCACATGACCCTTTCAGGTTCCACAAGAAGAGTCCAACTGTGTTTAGAGCTGCTGACCTATGCGACGATTGGCTCTTGTCATAGTCATGTGGAATTGCCACCACTAATACAGGGCTGGCAATGCAAATAAGCACGAGTTTGAACAGGTTGACACTGTCATGTTTCACAATGAAACTTTCCTGAGGTGCTGTATTGCATTGTTCGTCCCTTGCAAACTCCAAGCATTGATCAAGTTTCACGTTGATGAATTGAAGCTGTTTTTTTTCCGCCGAGAGTGATTTCAAGGAGACATACAATTCTGGGTCTATTTGAGATGCGATTGTATTTTTCACTCTCTCCCAGCGGGAGGTGGACCTAAATATAGCCCCACATAATCTTGCACAGCGAGGGCACGCAGGTCACATTATTGTAGACGCTGCACTGCACCGTAGACACCCGTGCAGAAATTCACAACACCATAGACACGTGTATTTTGGGAGGAAAATAATCGTCCCGATTGTCATAAATTACTAGGGCTGAGTGGATGACAAACTTTCCCCATCGTCTCCACACTTGGTGAATGGATAAATATCTAATCTTAAATTTGCAATACATACGAGCCTTTCCAGTGTTCTATTTCTCGTATGTGAAAGAGGATTATTCTGCACGAATCATCTCTTGCGCAAGGCACACTCGCAGGACGAGGATTCACCGCCCCAACGGAGCCGTGGTCTCACCGCATCCTCCTTCTATACCCCCCCGTCCTACCCCCAACCCATTCCTTCTCTAACCTTCTGGAAGGTTCTCTCTCTCTCTGCCCCTCCTCCTCCTCTTCTCCTCCACCAATCACCTTCTCTCTTCCTAAACCGCTCCTAACCGTAATCCACCTCCTCACCCCCACTCCAGCAACTCTTCCCCCGAGCCACAATGTATTAATGAATTACCCTGCGGTGTCCTTACATGAACCCATACACGTGTAAACGGGCTTACATCCACCTCTGCAGCCACGCGAACCACTGCCATCTACAGCGATATTTAAAAAAAACACCACACAGAGTCTATTCCAGGTTGAAATCGTGAGCCCCCCACCCCCCCACCGGAATCGCGACAACGCATTCAATCGCGACAACGCATTCAATCACGAGGGGGTAAACCTGCAGCGCGCACGCTCGTCGATTTGCGTGCGGGTCCTCTGGAGCATTGCCGCTGCTCGGCGTTGTTGTTGTGATTGTTGTTGTGGTTGTTGTTGTGTTTGTTGTTGTGTCTCCGTTGACGCGTCGAGGCAAAAGAGACGCGGGGGACGGAACATCTACGAGGGTCGCAGCCGAGCAAACACATTCCTGCAAGCCGCAGCCAGAAGCCAACGGGGCTGATATTGCAACACAATCAACAAAAGGGTTTTTTTTTTGCTTCGAATTAGAATTTGCGTTGTTTCGGTCTGTTACCGTAATATAAGTAGGTCAGGGATATTTGTGAAATCCCTGCAAAAGGAATCATTTTTAATTCGCTGGCACATACGCCTGCCTGATCTCGTCTCTCCCAGGAGCACTTGTCGGGGCAAGATAGTCTCGGAGAGGCTTCGAATCGACCAAGCATCATCAGCAATGCGTGGCCTGCCACCGGGGCGCTATTTTCATTCAGCGCGTGCGTAATTGTCGAGCCACGCGAAAGCAACTTTGGTGGCCACGTGCATTTCTCCAAGCCCTCCGCCGAACTTAGTGGACAGTCGTCAACAATGCGTGACGCTGTTTGTGTCGTGCCACATCCGCAGTTTGGGATGTCGTGAAGACCGGGCTACTGAATGACATCGCACCTGTGCAGAACGAGTTCAGCAAAGCTAGAATGCCAACGCATATATCTAGAAGTTGTGAGCGGCCGTTCGTAAATGCCGTCGGATACAAAATAATAGGTTTGCACCGGTGACGAGCAAAATGCTGACACGTGAAGGCGTTCCGATCACAGCTCGGGGTAGGCGTGCTGCGGGCCTGGCGCTCTTTAAGATGTTTTTGTTTTTTGTTTGTTGCGGTTGCACCCGATTCAAGAGCCGAATGGCTCACAGGGCTATACACAATACATGAACTTGAACTCTACCTGCGTAGGTCCAGTCGGCGGAGGCGCGATGCTGCCGCACCTTGTAGCGCTCGCGAGCGTGCTCCCAGCGCGAGAAGCTGCCGCCCGCTTGCCCTGCAAACACACACAGACGCACGGGCGGCCCACAACCACCGTTAAGTCTCCAGCACGCCACGAACCGTTCCCCGTGCTCGCTTCGTGGCACGATCGTCCTTGTGCACAAGCGGCGGAGCGGTGGCGCGGCGGTGAGCGCATTGCACCGTGCGTAATTCCCGAACCCACGGCTCGTGTTGTTGGTGGTGTGCGCCACTTTGCCGAAATGTCTCCCAGCTGTGTGCTTCTCCTTGTTTGAATGAGCACTGCAGCAGCACTCATCTCAGTTGACGGCTCTAAACCAGCGAACAGAAATTCCACATTTTCCATAGCAGAGCGTGGGAAAATCACTGTTCACTCCCCATAAATTGGTACTTATTTTTTTATTGCTAGAGGGATGATGGTTTAAGTGGCACCCTACCAGGGAGGGGTGGGTGGGTGGAGGCGGTGGTTGAGCTACAGCAGCGCATTTATAGACAAGGGAGTGCATAAAAGTGTTGTGCGCACACGTACTTTTATGCACTCTCTCTGGGTATATTGAGTGTGCATTAAATCATCCATCACGTCAAGCACACGAGGAGGCTTACCTGTCAAGAAATCACGACTCACACAGTCGCGCTTAAAGGCAAAAAGGGCTTTAAAGTTGTAAAAGTTTGGCGCGCGCACGCAGATCACTTAACAGTTGAACACGTAGGCTTTCACGACCAATATTATTCATCCTAAAGGTTTTATTTGGGTTCATCATCATCACCATCCACGGGCAGATGGCCCACAGGTGTCCACCTTGTTTACACTTTCCTCCGTCTCGTGCCAATGTGCTCAAGCAGTGCAACATCTTTCTGGCACCAACCTCTTGTGATATCGTCGTAAAGCCATGATCTCTTAGGTCTTCCTCTCTGTTTAGGTTAAATCGCGTAAACACAAATGTGTCGTGAACCCGCGAGTAGCCTTACGAATTGGCTGTGACGAGTGGTGGTGGGTGAACGACACATTTGTGTTTACGCGATCTAACCCAAAAATAGAAACCTTTCGTTCAATCAATCGCTACGACACGGCCGTGAGCTGAAGAGCGGCACGTTCATTACGAGCTTCCAAAACACCTGCCCACAGCTCCCCTCGTGTCCCTGACGTAGCGACGACTGAACAAATACGAAACGATACAAATTCGCTTCCGGACAGCGTTCACGATGCAGAGCGTCCAAGCCGATACACTTTGCGATCAAGAATAAAAGACACACGCGCAGATGCAAATAAAGCCATGCTTTATGATCATTTGACGCGACTCAAGGTGCACCATCATCAACTCTACACAAGTTTTGGTAAAAATAAAAACTCCCCACAAGCACGAGGGCATTTATATGTATATATTAAAAAAAATACTTTACCGCTCAGAACATTTCGATTTAAAGCTTTCGTGACGGCAGGGATTCATCTTCTTGGTTCTTTCGGTAAAGACTTTGCCGCTCAGAACATGTATGTATGTTCAACTTATTTCGCACCGTACGTAGCCAACCGTGCAAATTGGAGGTGCAAACGACGGAGAGATGGTGCCACCCACGGCATGGCGGGAGAGGCGAGGGCGGCATGAGTGGAAGGTGTGAATTTTGTGGGCACAGGCGCCGTTGATTCACGCTGCTCACAATCCGCTGCCAGTGGGTTTCACCGAAGCTCGCCATGAAATATTCAAGCGATCATTTGTTTGTGTCGAAAGGCCCACGCTCAGCAGGGTTTACGCCGCCGCTGGAGTTGACTTTATCATTATTATTATTTAAAGCGGAAATCGCTGCGCTAAGATTATTCTGAGCTGCATGCAAAACACCACTCTCGCGATGGTTTCTCTTAAAGGGAATCAGTCTCCGATTGCGAATTACTTAGTGGCTAGATAATTAAAAAAGTGATCGTTTTTATGACTACTCTGCTGATGTTAATATGCACGGTGTTGATTAAACGGCACAATTGACAGTTGTTATTATGCTATAGCTGAAACCTTCGCGGCTTGTTTAAGTGATCTTTAGTGAATAGCAAACCCTCATGAATGGAATTGCCCAAACATCTCAATGCAGGACCCTCCTGTAAAAGAGTCGTGGTACTCAGTGAGGCTTCACTGGATCAAGGACAGTATTATCAGTATTATCACCATGATTATTAAATGCATTGGCAGCTGCTGTCCTTGTATTACATCCAATGTGATGAGATTATAATTTCGACTGAAAACGTTCGTGACTGCAGGAATTCATATTCTTGGTTCTTTCGGTAAATGCACGTAGATAGAAAACAGAACAAAAACAACTAAAATTAATTAAAAAAAGCATTGAAAATTGTATTTTATTATTTTTTATTTACATTTTTTTTTATCTACGTGACTTTGCCGAAAGAACCAAGAATATCAGAATATCATTTACCACTTTTCACCTTCGACATCTTTTTTTCCTAAAAAAATATTTTAATTTTCTCGAATGTCTTCCCAATTGTGCTACTGGTGCCATGCCACGAAACGAAGACCTCACTTGGCACTGTCATGGGGAACTGTATCCCGCGAGTTTCAAAACAGGCTGCTGAAGGGGATATGACAGAACTACTTCTGAGATCCCTTCAAGTGACCGCTGAGCCACACACCAGGTGGCTGCCTGGATTTAAAAGTTGGACCTCAGTGGTGCCATCTCCTTACTCCGACCTCTGACCTCTGAGCCACCCAAGCCAATCTTTTGTTTTCAACCTTTAAAAAAAAAATTATGCTACGGGGTATTTAAAAAAAAACCTTCAAAAAAATTTAACCGCGATCTCGTTACATTCTAAAAATGGAAGCACAGTACTCGGATACTAACTGGTACGAGTTTTTGAGAATCCGACAAAAGTCCTGCTCCATAGCTGGGAGCCACAGTGGAGGACCAGGCCTAGTAGGGAGCAGGTCAGCCCGGTGTCGCGTCGAGGGAGTGGTTGTGCGTGACCAAACGAAAAACAGATCTCTGAAGGGAAATTGGCCTTGTGCGGTGTTCCGTAACACCCCCCAAGACATCAGTCGTATTATGTTTACATATCTGCGCCGCTCTACAAAAGAATACATCCACTCGAATTAACAGGCTGAAACCTTAGTAATGCATTGTGTGCTGTGTGAAGCTTTTTTAAATTGTCAAAGACATGTATGCATTCTCTCTGTCCGTCCATCAGTCGTGTGTACGTATGTGTGTTGAACTTCTTTTGCACCGTACGTAGCCAACCGTGCTAATCGGAGTTGCGGGGGAAGGACAACAAACTAAACACAAAACGCAGTTCTCAAGAAATGAGTTTTCAATTTGGAAGAAATTAGTTTCCAATTTGAGTAAACCTACCATCAAGTTATAACCCTTGCAACTTCACGATGAAGCACCGCTAAGCATCCCCCAATGAAGCCCCACACCCCCTCCTTGAAGAGCAAAGTGAATGAGGTGGTCCAAGGAGGAGGAAGACTTTGACTGGCAAGGGGAGAGAGGGGAGAGGGGGTGCCACTCCCATCTCGCAAAGAAGAATATTAAATACTCGCCTTGTGCCCGTCCAAGGACGGGTGTATTGCAGTAAATGTGAAACTTGCAAGCGAAGAGCAGCCCGCGACGTGATATGCATTGCATCCATTCGTGTGCAATTAGTAAGGGCGCGGTGACACAGACCTATTTCATGTAAAGGTTCATCAAGACGTCCTTTTTACTTTGATGTCTCAGCAGCGTTACGGAGACCACGTGACTTGAGGGTTCTGCCTTTGTAGTGAGGGTTGTATGTTGACGCTGAGGAGGGGGGAGGAGGCGCCTCGCCCCCCCATGTGGAGTGACGTCACCCGCTAATTATTATGAATGGAGGGGGGGGTGTCCATTTGAAGGATGTCACCTGGTTATGATTATTAATGAGGGGGGCTGTTTGATGTGGAGTGACGTCACCCGCTCATGATTATTAATGAGGGGTGGGGGGGGTGTCCATTTGGAGGACGTCACCAGCACATGAATATTAATGAGCGGGGCTGGTCGACGTGACGTCACGAGCGTTAAGGACAGACATTCCTGGGTGATCACAGTCGGTCACAGTCGGTAATAATAACGCACCCGCCCACCCGCTCCCCCCACCGCATGGTTCTTTTAGAAACGAAATTCATCCCACCCAATACAAACCACACCTCGGAAATGCGAATAAAGACAACCACAAAGGATGTAGAATAATCATTACATGAACGAACCTGCAGCATTTCAAGTTGAATTGCCGTTCAGCATTTATCTCGCTGAAAACCGGCCAAATTGAGCAAATGGCTCTTTTGCCCCATGCTTGGAGACATGAACCAGAGCGAGATATTTGCAAATGCGATTCTCCCCTGACCAGTCGTCCCATCGCGCCATCGATCATGAAACACCTCCAAGGGTAAAACACGCGCTGGAGAGGATTACGCAACCCACGCGGACGCATTCTTTTTTGCTCCTCCCCCCCCCGAGGAAAAGCGGATATTGTTGCACCGTGATAATCGCACCTCCGATTAGCACGGTTGGCTACGTACGGCGCGAAAGAAGTTCAGCGTACGTAACGTACAGATACAGCCATGCAGCCACTCGGATTCCAGAGCGGCGAGCGATTGACGGTCTCGTTGTGGGTTAACGAGCTACGGCGCTGCGGCCTGTTCAGAGGGCGACAAAGGGGCCGTCCATAAATGACGTCACGCGATTTTGGATGATTTTTTACCCCCCCCCCCCTTCGTCACACGGCGTCACAAAAAGTCAGACCCCCCCCCACCTCAAATATGACGTCACAAAGCTCTGTCCCCCCCCCAAAAAAAAATAAAAAAAACATGGTTCAAATCGCTTTAAACTATTGCCATTGTAGTGCGTATTTAATGTAGCGCTGCACTGTTGTAGAATAAAACGTTTATTAAAAAGTATATTTAATTAAGTAGAACGTATTGTCTATATTCATTTAAAGTTGCGCATTTTTATGTGGCGTCACATTTCTCAACCCCCCCCCCCCCCCCATCGTCACACATCGTCACAAATGTCTGACCCCCCCCCCAG